ACCCTCTCCCCCGTCCCGCCCCTCCACCCTCTCCCCCCCGCCCACACAAAGAACATGACCGGCCCGTGCACAAGTTCACGCTGGACCCTGCAAATTCACCCTCTTAATCCGGCCTCGCAAACAATACGCCCAGCCGTCCAGTTTGCTATATTGGGCGGCTGGCCAAACAAGAACATACCAACCTGCCTATTCAACCTATCCTCCAGACCGCCCTTCTATCCCACCCTCTATCCCCCCGTCCGCCAAATACAGATCGACTAGCCGCCCGGCTAACCAACCTCTACCCCCTTCGCCAGGCCGCCCGCCGCGTGTACAGCTTTTTGTTGGAAGTTTAAAACAATATAGCGAGCGTCTTTGTTCTCGGGACGGGCCTCAAAGTCCCTGTTATTGTCTGGAATTGGGTGGAGATATTTGTTAGTGAGTGGTTGTGTTGTTGTCGGTGTTGGAGCGATTCACCACCACTCCGTGAAGTCTTTTGTTGCTGCTAACTACCCCCACCACCACCACCACAATCACCTTTCCCTGGCGGAGGGTCCTAGGCTTTTACTCCCATTCTTTTTAATCTACCAGTTTCTGTTTGAAGTTTTCACATCATCCTCTTACACCATTCCTTTATCCTCCTACTTTCTCCTTCCGTTCTTCGCAGGTAAAGTGACTTTTATTAATTTTTTTAAATTTATTTTCCACTTTCACTGGTGCTCCGTTTTCCAATTTGTCCTGAAGAGATTAGATAATCTTCTTGCATTTATATTTTTTAATAATATGGCAGATTTTCTAGAGATGCCCGGCGACCTCTGGCCTCAGGGGACGGAGGCGTGGCTCCCCCTGAGCTCTGGCTTCACCATTAGCTTCACCATTAGCTTACATCAAACATTATTTCATTATATATTGTTTGTGATGGTGTGAAGTAAACTTCTCGAGCGTCAGGAAAACTTCATGATTATTGTGTGTGTGTGTGTGTGTGTGTGTGTGTGTGTCCTCACCTAGTTGTTGTGCTTGAGGGGTTTAAGCTTCGGCTCTCTGGTCCCGCCTCTCAACTGTCAGTCAATTATTGTACAGATTCCTGAGCCTATTGGGCTCGATAGGCTCTCTCTCTCTCTCTCTCTCTCTCTCTCTCTCTCTCTCTCTCTCTCTCTCTCTCTCTCTCTCTCTCTCTCTCTCTCTCTCTCTCTCTCTCTATATATATATATATATATATATATATATATATATATATATATATATATATATATATATTATATATATTGTGACAGTAAAGCGTTGGTGTTCGGCTGTTTCAAAAGCTAGGGGCAGGGCCTCGTCACATCACAAAAAAAGAGAGAAAAGTTTGTCCTTTCGTCTGTGGTAAGGTAATGGGAAGACACAAAACACAAGCATGTAAACAATGAAATTTTAATTACTCTAGAAAACAAGACATGAATAAAGGTAATCTCATAAAAATATGCAAGACAAGTCAACAAACAAAATAAAATGAATAATCACTGGCAAATGAAAAGTTACGTTAAGACAAGTAAGTTACAGTGATAGCAAAATAAAATATGAGTGGGTGCTGGAATACTGGCTTCGAGCTGCCACCTCACCTTAGTACACAAAAGCCAAGGCTTAGTCTACTAGCGAGAGATGTCAACTGCATGGAGCACTGAGATATTCTGCCGAGACTGGCGCACTGCAGCCTAGGCGTCGACTTGTGGTGGTGGCGGAGGGCTGGGGCGACGAGACACCAGCCAATCAGCAACAGGCAGGCAGAGGATGAGCAGTTAGCTGGTTACGGCGGTGGCAGGTGTGCTGGGTACGATTTGCTCTCTGGGCAAAACGTTTGGCGATACTTGGTCAACGTATCTTGTATATAGCATCTTGTATTTTGACGTAATTATGTAGGGAAGAGCAGGCTCAATCTCTCTTGAAAGAGATTATCGTCACAATATATAATATATATATATATATATATATATATATATATATATATATATATTATATATATATATATATATATATATATATATATATATATATATATGCTTGTATTTCAGCACCTTTTTATTTTTTTTTTTAATTTTGCCCCGAGGGGCGAGTTATTGGTCAGCGCCACTCATCCTGTGAGTGGACACACCGCCATAGTGACAGTATGGGCAGCG